TATATATATATATATATATATATATATATATATATATATATATATAAATGTTTGTATATCTGGTGCGTGTAACAAAAGTAATTTCCCTCTGGGAATATATATTATATTATATTATGTATGTCTGATTCTGAATGAACTTTGAATCATCTTGAAAAACTTTATTTTGGTATGTGGTGAGCAACAAGTTGGGGCAGCACCAAGTACAATCACAAAGTACTCGGTTTTGTTTAATAACAAAAAATAAAAAACATTACTTAAATGTTTTTATTTTTGAAATACCAACAGGCCATAAAGAAAATTAGCTTAAATGAAACAGAACTAATGATTCTGTTTTTAAAATGTAAGGAGTAGAAGTAAAAAGTTGTCTAAAAATAATTACTGCAGTAAAGTAGATATTCAGAATGTCTACTTAAGTAACAAAGTATTTGTACTTAGTTGCCTGACATCTCTGTTAATCATTGATTTTAAATTAGGATTAATTAGTTTAAAGATGTTTATTTTTTATTTCTGAAACAGGACCAGGCCCTGACTGCAGCTGCAGGCAGAACCGAAGCAGTTCACAGATTCAACAGGTTTTTCTGGGAGTCCTCAGCTCGATCTCCTGGTTGCAGATGATCTCCCACCTCCACACCCTGAAATGAACAGAAGTGGCTCATAGAAATGAAACGGGGCGCCGGGGTCTAAAGAAAACAACAGAGCCTCTGCTGCAGCCGCGCGTCAACGGGACCAGTCAGCCGTCTCGACCATATATGGGCATAGCGCTTCCTGCGGCCCCAGAAACACACATGAACGCGCGTTCCTAACATAGCATTTAAAGCACGTCATTGCATTCAGGTTCCTGCTTCACAGTCAGAGCAAAGCATCGGAGGGAGGTGGACTGGAGCCGGGGACGGGTCTGCGTCCTCCGGACCTTCTCTGGTCCTTCTGGTTCTTTGTCTTTAAAGGCTCCTGCAGCGGGAGGGGGGGCTGCATAGCTGCAGAGCCTGGTTGGAGGCATTTAACTCCAATCCAGCAGAAATAGTTGACATAAAGCAGAAAAAGTTTGATGCATGGCTCTGAGTTCTGGTTCTGTCTAAAAACAACCCAAAAAATAGATAAACTAAATTAAAATAATAATAATAATAAAAAAAACTTTATAAAACAACAGAAAAAAGTTTGTCACAAATTATACCAAACCCTTCCGCCTAGTTTGCCGCACCGGGACAAGTCGGGTCGGGTCTGACCGGGCCAAGTCGGGTCGGACCGGGCGGGCTGCTGTGGAGGCGGGTCCCTCCTGCAGAACAATGCCATTATTTGAGCTCCGTTGGTCAGGAATGCCAGATTTCACAGGCCGCTGCCCTCTTCCACCACTGCACCTCCACTGGGACCTTTTCCCACCCCATCCTCTGCACCCCCCCACCTATTGCCCACCTTTGGCCCGCCCTGATGGAGCCCTGACTTCCTGCAGCCTGTGTGTCCTGTTGCACCTACAGCTCACATGTGTTGGAGCTCAGGGTGGTCCTGTTTACCCTGATGCTGCCGCAGGGGGGGCTGCGGAAGGCCCCACTTTTAGATGATGGTTCCCCTAAAAAAAGGTCGCTCCTCAAAGGCGGGTAATGACAAATTTGTGAATGGAAAGAAGAATTTGTGTTCATTGTTAAAATTTAACTATACAACGAGAGCCCCTCTGGTGTTCCACCAATCCAGGAGGTGATGGGGGAAATTTCCCACCAATCAGAGCAAAGACTAGAGGTAAACTGGACCAATGGGAACCTAGTATTCAAATAAGGAATTTGTCTCGGCAAGAGCTGAATGTCAACTAGTCAAAGATGGAGTCTAAAGCTGGAAGGCCGTGGGGTGGCCAGTGGACCGAAACAGCGGCTCCCCGCAGCAGGAGCGGCGGCGGCGGACCGGAGCGGGAGGCGGGGAGCGCGAGCCGCGTTTATCCGCTGGAATAGCGGCGCGGCTCCGCTCAGGCTTTGCTGGGTGAGCCGGAGGCTACGGACCGGCCCTGCCAGCGCCAGGTACCGATTCAGCAGAACCGCTGGCCGCGTGGGGAGGGGATGGCATGCGGCTCGCGCACTAACGCGGGTGCGGGTGTTTCTGACTGACCGGGGAGACGTTTCACGAGCCTTTGCTGCTCACAACTATGGAGCTGCTATTGTGTGTGCGCACGCGTGTGCTTGTGGGTCTGTGCGCGCGCATCGGTTTGAGTGGAATGGAAATAAAAGCGTGCGCGCGAGCGAGCATGTTGACAAAGATAGTGATTGACAGGTAGGTGGCATGTAAACTAACTTTCTTTCTTTCCTCCCTTCTTTCCTTCTTTCCTTCTTCCTCAGCTTCTAGGATCCAGGGACACCCGGGGGTCCACTAAAGATGCCCCCAGATGTTCCAGCCTATATAATAACCTTGTTATTGAAGCCTTATGCTTTAATAATTACATTTTTTTGTAAGATAAAAAAAAAAAGGTAGCCTTTCTGGTTTTAAAGCAGTCCACATAGTTCTGAGGGACATCTCATGCAGTTCATCCTTAGTAGAAAAGCTCCAGTCCACTGGATGTGGCCCCGGGGCCACATGTTTGTTTGTGTTGCGGTTTGGAAGTGTAGGAATGCGTGTTCTGTGCGTGGCTGCATCGTACCGGCCTCCATCTGCGGGGACAGGCAGCCTGGATGCTGTCCTATCAGGCTGGGATCCAAAGCTCCGGGCTCCCATGTGGAGGGGCTCCCCTCTCAGCCCGGGCGGCATGGAGTTGCTTTTTTTTATTTGCTGGATTATGGAGATCCTTGCAGGAGAAGAAGCTCTGCAGCTGACTGGAAACGGCTCCTGACATTGGAAATAACAAAGCCCCCCCCCCACACACCCCTCCCCTCCTGGCACCCCCCACCCAATGGTTTCCTAAAAGAGGAGGGTTTCACGTTGCCACTGGCCAAAGGGACAGGAATAGCAGGTATTAAATGGAAGTCTGTGGTATTGTATCTGGGAATGTGCTCTTTGGCCTATATATGCTCCTCCACCCTCTGCTGGGTTTCCTCCCAGCAGAGCTCTGCAGTCTATAGGAAGAGCTTCGCCTGTCCTCTTGGTTCTGTTTCGCTGCAGTTTAACGTGAACTGGAACGAATCCGCCGACACATTGTCTTCAGATATTGTCTTGTTGTGCAGAAATGAAACCGGAACAATCCTTTCCCTGTTTTGCACAGATTTTCTGCTCTTCTCGGGGGGGGCCTGAAACACTCAGCAGGATTTCTAAGCCTGTTTTGCTTGTTTCACGGCTGCTTGTCTGCTTGCAACATGTTAATCATGATCGCTGTAAGGAAGCCTGCAGCCCCCCCCCCCATCAGTATTGATGGGACTGAGCTGTTGCATGCTGCTGCTCCTACAAGAGTGAATAGAAACCATGTAGTTCAAAGCCCTTTTTCTGTTGTACTACTGTGAGATCACATGAGCAGTGCAATATTAAAAGGGCATTGGCTCACACACTATGACACCTTGCCCCCCTCCCCGTCACCCCTCCCTTTACTGTATACCTTATTCAAGCTCAAACAAACGGTGCAGAAGTGCTTCTGTGGAATGTTGGATATTTCAGGTTGCGGTCGGCTGCGGCGTGTTTGAATCCCAGCATGCAGAGGTCAGCTGCTTTGACGATGTTGCACTACTGTACCATGCGCTGAAGCAGTGCAATAGTATTGTCATAGCATTTGGCCTTTGTCCTGCACAGCAGCAGCCGGACTGCACAGGTTGGAGGAAAAGGAACAAGCGGAGAGGAAAATAGCTTTTCTTTATTTTGTTTCCAAGCTGTCTTGGATATTTTCTCAGAGCATTAGAAGAGATAAATCCAATTTTATGTCCCACTAGTTTGAATTTCTTATAAGAATCTAACAGATTTGAGTTGTTTTTGTCCAGTGAAGTTTCCAGCTTGTTGGGTATTAATGAATTCATTTTTGATGTGTTTGGAGAACACAGTGCTATATTTGACAAACTGGGAGTGTAACAGTGGAAGCTATTTAATTCTGGACGTTTTATGTGGAGCCACTGGGGTCCCTGGGCCACAGTTTGGGCGCCGCTCTTCAGACAGGAAGAGTCTGTGGCTTTTCTATTCAGCCGTGTTCCATTATCAGGCTGCATTTTACCCGGGGAGATATAGGCCTCCTGGACCACGCCTCCTAAAAAACAGAACATTTTGTTCACAGAACTACACAGGTTGTCTCAGTTTGCATTGCAGAGCACGTGTCACATTAAGTAACGAGCACTGAGGTCAACTTACCCAACTTCTTGCACATTTTTTCAGGCGCTGTAATGCGTTGCTACACGCTGGCCCTCAGTGTGAAATCATCTGGAGTCCAAAATGGGTCGGATTTAATTTGGGTTCGCTCTGATCCGATTTTTATTCTCCTGATTGGATCAGAACTGAATTAGACGGAAAGATTTCCGTTTTAATTGGGGGAAAAAATCTGTTTTTAATTCACAATGAATCTATTAGCCGTACCTTCTAGTATTTTAAAATTCTATAAGAATTAAAGGGGATTTTTTTCTGTTTCTATTCAACTATTTTTCCGTTTTTATAAAACGGCGGTAAAAACATTTTATCCAAACTAATTAAATGGATCTTAAAAAAAGTTTTTGTATTTTTATTTGGCTTAAAAAATGAAACAGATTTGTTTGAAGCAAGTGAAATTTCTTTTTATAATGCAAACCTTTTTATATGGATTTAAGCCTGTTTCACAGAGGAAGGAGAGTGTGTGTTCATGGGAGCTTCAGATGAATGCTGCAGTCCCTTATTATTCTGCATATGTGTGTGTGTGTGTGCTCCTGCAGAACCCCCCCCCCCTTCAGTCGGCTTTTCAAAGCATAATTTGAGTGTGCAGGCCTGAAGAAGTCACCGCGTGGGTGGGAAAACCGGGGTAAGTTTCCTATTTGGGACAGGTCGTCAGGGGGAGAGGGGGGGATGGGGCTCCTTGTGAGGAATGTGGAGGGCCGGGCTGCTCGGAGGGAGGGAGGGAGGAAGGGGAGGGTGCTGGGAGGTCAGGGCTCATCGTCCCGCCGAGCCACCGTTCAGCGAGTGGATGTGGAATCTGCTGTTTGTTGTGTTGGAAGGGAAAATGTTCCTGAGGATCTTCCAGCCTCAAACACTCAGAATCAGGTTCTTAAAAACATTTAAAAAATCTCTTAATTGGAGTCAAATTTAAGAAATACTAATTTCGAATGTTGAGGAAATTACATAAATGTTAGAAAATCGTCTTCAAGCGGAGGAGAAATGAGCGGAGCCTCTAAGCCGTCTTGTTTTTGCGCAGTTCGGCCATATTTTAACACCAGACGTCACAGGAAGCGCCGGGTCGTGTCGGCCATCTTGTCCTATTTAGGATTCAAATTTCAGGAATCAATTCGATTCGGATTCTCGAAATTTAAAGTAAATTCTTTTCTAACTGTTTTGATTTTGAATTGGTGTTAAAAACATATTTTTTTACCCAAATGTTTTGCAGTGTTATTAAGCAGCGTATTGATATTATATAAACATTAAACAGGAAGTTAATAAGTAATGGTAGCTGTAGGAAAATACATTTTCAAAAAATTATCTTTGATTGTGTGAATTGATCGTTAGGAATTAATTTGATAATCAATTCAGGATTGGAAAATTTGTTGTTTTTTTTTAAATTAGCCCTAACCTGGTTCTGAAGGTAGGCACCGGGGCCAATAGGGACCCAGGGGCCCGTGTCTCCATAGTGATCAGTTCCTCATCCTCAGCTACTTATAGCTTAGCAGAGCGCTGGTCTGGGATCAGCTGCAATCGATCGGATATGAAGCCATGTTGGGTAAATTAAATGAGATAATTCATACTTGGACAATAATATATTTTAGTCTTTTAACCACATTTTCATTATTTCTCTTTTAATTCCAGTCTAGGATAAAATCAATCGCCAGTGACTGAGTTCTATGCGTTTTGTTTTCTAAAGCAAATATTTCAAAAAGTAGTTTTTTTAATTTGGGAAAAATAAAATTTATTCAGGATCCGGTTGTTAGTATTTTTTTTTATATGCTTGTTAAAATAGAAATATATCGTGATCTAAATTTAGTCCATTTCTTCCAGCCCTAACTTGGTGTAAATTAAAATAATAACAGCAGATTTCAAGGTTAATATTAAATATTTAATTTGGACAGTAATTCAATATCAATATATTTCGGCGTATAATTTTAATCAATAACATTGATGTAACATGTTCAATATTTTAATATATTTCACAGGTTATATTTGTTTGTCACTGACGGACATTCTGGGTTTTTTCTGTAGTTTTATTTGCTTTATTTTTCTAACATTTCTGAAATGTTATATTGGAGGATTATTATAAACCGTTAAATATATAATCATAAGATTGTATATGAATATTTGGGGGCGTCTTTGCGGTTTTTTTGAAGCTTTTATTTGGCTTAAATTCATATCATGATCGTATCGTATTAACAAAAATTGAGATATATATTTTGATATAATCTTATAATTTTTGTATATATATATGTGTGTGTGTGTGTTTGTGAGTATTTTTATTTGGTAAAACAAATTAGACTTTCCGTGTTTTCATCCACTTCTTATTCCAAAGATTTATACTAGAAGAATAAATGAACCTTAAGAAAACAACGTCAGTCTGATAGTTTTTTTAAGACTGTTTAAATGTTATTTTTCTAGGGAAAATAATAATAAAATAAAAGTATTTAGAATAGAATAGAATAAAAGTATTTAAGTAATTGTTTGATGTTGTGTTTAAGTAGGACCCAGATGGACCCAGTTAATTTCCACCGTTAAAAACTATTCAGCTGTCAGTTGGAAAATAAAATCACCTTCAGTCTTTGTTTTGTTTGGATATTATTTTAAATAATATCCAGCAGTGCTGCATCGCATGAGGCCCACTTTCTACCATTTATTGATTATTACCTTCTTCCAGGATGCGTCTAATTTTCTGTTTTTCTTTAGATCTCTGAGACATAAATTATTTCCCATGGTGTTGTTTTTTTATATCGCAGAAAGGCTTAACTTGAACCGTGAGCTGTTAACATATCTAGAACTTCTAGGTACATAGATCTGTCCAACCAGATATTTTCCAGGACTGATGATGCTGCAGGATGGATTCCTGCCTCTTGTTTGTGGTTGTTTGTTGGGAGTCAAACTGGGAAAGGCCTTTCTCCTCCTGAAGGCCGCTTCCATCAGGGACGTTGGTTCTGCCGTTTCAATTTAGGATAAAAAAAAAAATGGAACATGGTCTGTAAGGAGACGTCCTCAGAAAATGTTTGTGATGCAAATCAATAAATTAATTAGAATCTATGAAATGAAGGTTTTGTATTGAGTCTACCTGGATGCTGGATTACTGCTGGAGGGAAGCAGCATCTTTCTTTCTGTTAGACAGTCAGGAATCAGGGGTTTTTCTGATGCTCCATGTTGGATTGGATGAAATATACCAACACTGAAGCTCTGATGCATTCATTCTGCTCCCATGGAGGAAATCTGGAATCCTTCAATACATCCAAACTAAAACATTAAAATCAACAAAACATTTTAATCTGCTTTCGATTTTTTATTTTTTTTAGAAGACACAAAATTAATAAAAACACTGCTGTCATATTCAGCCTGTGAGAAAATTAAATGTAAATACTTCCCAGGCCTTCCCTGACAGCCAATATTAAAGCTCCCCTTATAGATGGCTGATAAACGTTTATAGATATTAGGGATGCACGATATTGGGATTTTGGCCGATATCCGATATGCCGATATTTTAAAACT